CTGGCCACATACTGAGGGGCTTGGTAACTGGTGATAAGTTGGTGACAGTGATGATGATGACATTGATGTGGGAGGGCTAGGGAGCTAGGAGACCCTTGAAGTGAACCCATCATCTGATGAGGCTCTGAACTGTACTGTTGGTTGTGGGAAGAGAAAAGAAAAGGCAGGTCTTGATTATTGAGAACCTACTGTCTGAACTTCGTGATGGCTACGAACAGGGGGCAACAAGAGGGGTTTAAAATGGCCTGGATTTGGAAAGGTGTGGCCCAAGAGTAATGACAGTGGAGATGGAATTTGGAAGAATAATTTCTTCAAAGATAAGGCATATATATATATATATACACACACACATATGCAAAATGAGGGTAAAAAATGTATATTTTTGTGATACTAAGCTTCGGAAGCCTGGCTCATATCCATTTGGGGTTTGTCACGGAGCCTGCTGGGAAGAGCTTCAGAATGTGCCTCCTGATTCAGAGTGTGGGGCTCATTTTCCTCTTGGCGTTTTGCTCTGGTAGGTGGTACCAGTGTTGTAGTTTTGATCATATAAGGAGAGAGATACTCCCTGGAATAACACCGTATCAAATCTTTGAAAATGAAAAGTCAAAGGTACAGACGTGAGGGTTGAAAACCTGAGTTTGCTGTTTGTTTAATTAGACTAAGAGACTGTTGTTAAGATTCTTGTCCTTTCTCTCTGATTTGGGGCTGCGTAGGGAGAAGTAGTGCCCCTGTTTCTTCCAAGTTAGGAACAAAGTAGTCTTTCTTCTCTGTGGAAATATATATGTGTATGGTGGCGGAGTGGGGGAGCAGTGCATGTATATGCGGAGAGGGGGTAATCTAGGCATTGTGATTAGTTTCTAAGAAATCGAATTAAAGAGACTTAGTCCTTACGTGAATCTAGAAGTTAACTAGTCTAACCTCATTTTATGAATGAGGAAACTTGGACTTGCAGAAAAAAAGTTGCTCACCAAGGTCACACAACTAGTTATAATGACCTAAAAATTGTTTACAGTGCTTGATTGAACACTGTCTACAGCACGTGTCTGGATATATGTACATACACACACCTTTCTATATCAGAGGTTCAAAGAATTTTAAAATATGGCTGGAGGAGAGAGAGATGATGGAGGTCAGACTAGATTCTCATGTCCTTTTCCAAGGGCACTGTTTCTGTCACTCTGCCTCCAGCTGTGTCTTCTTGCTGAATCTTCAGTCTGACAAGCTCCTACTTCTCATCTGCTAACTTAATCCAAGAATATTTTCTTTTATTAATTTATCACTGCCATCATTTATAAACCAACTCATGAGTGAGGCATAAGGAGGTTAAGAGTAACCAACCTTAGTTACGCAGATTGAAAATTAAATCTTTTATGTATCTAAAGGCCCTTATTCAGGAAAACCTCCAGAATAACTTCCCAGAAGTTGTTCTCTGTTATGTTAATAGAAACAAAACAGAAAACTTTTGTTTGTTTACTGTCAGTGGCAATAATCTCCGAAGGATTTTGCCTTGCAAACTTGGGGGGTAAGACTGCGACTGTGTATGTGTGAGTGTGTGTCTGTATGTGGTTTTCTTTAGGGAGGTCTTCTGTAGTATAGCTAGCATATTGTGAAGGTTAAGTTAACATGAAATAATAAAAATAAAATTCATCCTTGCTCCCAAGCTTTGAAAACAAGTATCCATCATAGAAAAAGCTGCAGTTTATAATCCCAGCCTTTGTCCCATGAACCGTCATACTGTTCTTTTTATGTGATGCTTATCATCAATCTCCTAAGAGCAAGATGCTCAGCAGGTGCCTTTACACCAGCAAGGCTTGGAATACAGTCAGGCCTGCTCCTCCGAGTGCAGAGATGATGGACACTGAAACACTGGTGGCCCCAGAGAGCTCATGCATGGAGTAGCTCAGACTGGGGCACCAAAGGGCCATCCTCTCTTAGATGACTGCATGTGTTGAAGGGCAGATGAGGCCCACGGTGCGTTTCCTTTAAACATATGACCACGGTTTTTAGTTCTTTGGAAAGCTCAAGCTTGCTTGCTGTTCATGGGATTTATCTGAGAAAAATTGTCTCAACAAAGCATAAAACTGAGAAGAACCTAACTGCTGATGTGTGCATTTAACATAGTATTTCCTTTTTGCCCCCCCAAATTTTTAAACAATGGTGCCTCTTAGAATCAGTGACGTTATAGAATCTAGAACATAGAGTTCGTGAAATATCTGGGTGATGGCCGTACAGCTGAGTTCCCCATGTTTTGGGGAATCTTGTCTCATTTCAGAGTGCATGGCCTGTACTAACCACATTGCCCATTGGGCCTTCTTGCTCCCACGGTGAGGTTGCCACTGCGACGTGTCGCCTTGCGTTGCTGGAGATGGCTGGGTGGTCTTGGTTGTTAATTCTGGGCATGAGAGCAGATGTTCATGCTGTGCTGACCCTCCTTCTTGTTCCAGTGCATGAAGGCAGCCCTCTGGGTGAACTCCATCGTTGTATCCGGGAGGGGGTGAAGGTGAATGTTCACATCCGCACTTTCAAGGGACTTCGGGGCGTCTGTACAGGCTTCCTCGTTGCGTTTGACAAGTTCTGGAATATGGTAATTAAGCTTTCCTCAAGGGGCTGCAGAACCTCCTAGGGATTAAATCTTTTATGTATCTATCTGGAGGAAAACCTCCAGAATAACTTCCCAGAAGAACTAGAATCTTTGCACTCTCATGGGCAACAACAGAAAAGTGTTTTTTATTGCCTTTCCTAAAGTCACGGGCTTTTAACTGGGGTGGTTTTGCCCATTCCTCCTTCCCAGGCATGTTTGGGAACGTCTAGGGACATTTTTTTGATTGTCACGACTATGGGATGGGGTACTGCTGGCATCTAGTGGGTAGAGGCCAGGGCTGTTGCTGCATATCCTACAATACACAAGACAGCCCCCTGACAGCAAAGAATTATCTGGTCCAAAATGTAACTAGTATCAGAGTTGAGAAATCTAGCCTTAAGGGATTTTAAACTTATTTTGTCGTTTAGTAATTTGGTATTGATTTCCTACCAACTATCCTTCATTTGAATTAAATATTTATTGACTTCCTACTTCGGCTGGGCACGGTGCTAAGTACAGTAATTTCAGAAAGGAACTTTCACTCTACAGATTTTGGAAAGATAGATGAGGATAGAGGTGAAGCAGGTATATTAATAAGCAGGACACTTGGCATAGTGTTCCCTTATGAAGGAGTGTACCACGTGCCCCGGCGTCCTAGAGGCTTACTGTCTGTTTACTAGACATTTGTAGGAGAGAAGGGGTATATCGTAACACAACTGTAATATGAGACAGTTAAAATGGGAGCCACCAGGGCTGTCTAGTGTTTCTTTCCACACGATCTTCCATTGCTAATTTTTCTTTTCCTTGTGCTCTGTCCCCGTCTGTGCATTCCCCTTGATGATAGCAACAGTAGTTGCTAATGCTCACTGAGCCTGTGCTGTGTGCTGTGTGCTGAAGGCTTCATATATATTATCTCAGTGGGTGAGCGTAGGTCTGTCACTCTTCCATTTCACAAGTGAAGAAATTGAGGCTAGCGATTTTGGAAGACTGGTCCCAGAGCACACTTTTAGTAAGTGGGACGACCATGACTTTATCCCAGGTTCTTTCTGGCCTCTGAGACCATGTTTTCAACCATTATGGAGTTAGAAATCCTGGATTTGAATCCTAGCTTTACAACGTGGTGGCTGTGTGACTCTAGGCACACTTCTCTGAGCCTCAGTTTTCTCATCTCTAAAATGTAGGAGAAAAATACTTTATTATTATAATTTTACCTTTGAAGGGAAAGGCTTAAGAGAATCTATTTGATGACAGTGGTGGTAGTGTTAATACTATGAGCTTGTATTTGTAGGGTGATTCATACTTCTCAAAGTAATTTCTCATACATGATCTCATTTGTTAGTCTCTCAACAGCAAGAATTCACCAGCAACTCTGTGTGTAACCTTCATCAATGAGTATTAATTGCTGTCATAAGACATAGAAACTGAAAAGGAAAAAGAAGAAATAGACTAGTGTTTCTTAAAGTGTGGTCTGAGGCTGTCCTGCATCAGAACCATGGGGTTTCTGGTTATAACAGACAGTTCCTAGGATTCACCCCAGACCAATTGAATCAGAATGTGTAGGAGAGTAACCTTGGATCTGAATTTTATATGCTTCCTAGATGTTCATGCTCCCAGAAATTTAAGAACCTCTACCTTGCATTTGTGAAGGCCCCTCACTGTAAGAGAAACCCATCTTATGTGGTTAAAGCAGCTTCGAATTCCCACTCAGGGTGCCAGGTATTACCATTTTTTTCTGCCCAAGAGCTGAGTCACCTGTTAAGTTTAGTTCTGCTACAATTAGATGTTATTCTGCCTTTTAAACCTTTTCCTGAAAGCTGTAAAAATAATATTTTTAACTCGGCCTGATTTTTCCCCTTTGGGCTGTTTTCCTCTAGGCACTTACTGATGTGGATGAGACCTACCGAAAGCCTGTTCTAGGCAAAGCATATGAACGGGACTCCTCACTGACCCTTACCAGGGTAAGCCGTTCCCCCGACTTCCTGAGTACCCAGCATGCCTTCACGCTTAGGAATTAAGGTCCCTGAGCCAGGGCCATGGGGTTCCCTAGTGGGAAAGTCCTGTTGCTGTCAACCAGCTATGCCTGGACCAGCGTCTTCATTAGTCCCTTTTCTCATGCCCCCAGTGAACCTGAAATGCGTCCGTGCTTCTTACCTGCATATTGTCTGAGCAATAAGTTACCTCTTCTGAGGCTTATAAGTCTTTCAGTTTTATATCATAAAAAAGTGAGTATCTTTTCTCTTGACATACTTATGATTTACCTGAGTCATGGCTAGGAATAGAAGACTCATGACTAGCTTTTGAAAAATTGCAGAGCAGAGAGCCCACAGAGCGTGATTAAGGGACCTGGTCTTTTCTATGTGCTGAAAGAGGGATGTTGAAAGAGAAGTCTGATATTTATCATTGCTTTCCTTGTAGCTGTTTGATCGACTGAAACTGCAGGATTCCTCCAAGAAGGACGCTGATTCTAAGTCTGCAGTTGAAGACTCCACTCTGTCCAGATACTCCCAGACGTCTACTTGGAAGGTGGCTTCGGTGTGGGGAAGAGGAGACACTGACCGGGGTTCACGCAGGCGTTCCCGCTCCGTCCCTTCTTCCCTGCAGGCATCTGCAAGGGAGGAGTCCAGGTCAGAGCTGTCAGGGAGGACTACACGGACAGAAGGGTCGAGTGCGGGAGGTACCTTTTCCAGGGCCACCACCCTCTCCCGGGGCCAGCCCCGTAAGAAAAAGCGAAAGCCCAAAGTGGATTACCAGCAGGTATTCACTCGACACATAAATCAAATTTTCATTCGAGGAGAGAATGTCCTGCTGGTTCATCTTGCACAGTAACCAGCTGGGCTTCACCTGAGCTTTGGTTTTTAGACATAAGGTGCATGAACCGCTGCTATGCTGTATCCTAGTATCCCAATGAAACTCTGAGTTGGAATGATTCCCTCTGGTCCTGCATGTGCAGAGCGTAGAGCCAGGCTGGGGCCCTCTGGGAGACGAGCTCCATGAAGGGGAGGTAGGCCTTGGAAGGGTGGGTGGGTGTTTGCATTAATGCCAAGGCCAAAGCTGTGCAGAGGTGCTTGTGTCTGATTTGGTGTCATGGCCTCAGACACTCAAACCAAATATAGTAAGATCTTGAATTAGGGGACATGGTATGCATTGAATTCACTCCACAGACACTACAGCATGGTGTCACCTCAAAAATGATCTCATTTCTAAAAGCTAGTGCCCTGAGCACTCATGAATTTGTTTCTAGGAATAAATAGCAGTATAAACTGCCCTGAGCCCTGCAGCACATCTTGTAACTGACCTTTGAATTTTGCTTTGCGCCATTCTACCATTCTCTCTTGATCAAGAAATGTAATTTGCTATCTTTTAGTATCTATAAGATCTAAGAAGGCTACCAGTTTCTGTAAGAGCAGAATTGGGATAGGTGGTATGCACACAGCAGCCAGCAATGAATGCTCTGTCTTTATCCCTCTCCTCATTACGGGAAGGAATACAGGACCCACTGGTCTTCCCCTGGCCAGAGGGAGCTTCTGCAGATGGTGTACCAGATGGGACTCTAAGCTGCTCTTGTCCTCTTTGACTCCTGTGGCATGGTGCTAGTGCATGTACCCTGTGTATTGCCCCCTCTGTACATAGTGTGACCTGTCCTGTGAGCTTTAGGGCAGGACACCGTGACCTTCATGTCTGGCTTCAAAGACTTCTGTAGGAACTCAGTAATACACACATCGTGTGGCTGAGAGTCCCCTTTCCAGGCAGGGCTGGCCCTGCCTGGAGTATCTTTCAGGATAGTTTTCCATGAAACAGGGGTGTAATTTTATTCCGTTATGTCAGGCCAAAGAGTTTCTCACCAAGTACAACAGTGGTGTCTGCAAGGGACACTTTACTCAGCCTGGCTTGAGTAATCGGAACACCAGACCACCTGCTACGACTTCTACTTGAATCATATGTTTATTCAGTCATCAGTGTAAAATAGGCTACATTTTGACACAGACTGTTAGGCAGTATTGACCTTTTGTTAGTTTATATTTGGTTTTATTTTAGATAACTTACATTCAAAGTGAGAATAAGAAATAGCTAACCAGTTAAAACATTTGAAAAGAAAACTTCCTCTGCTGTATTTGTTGTGTCACTTAGGTAAGGCTTCTGAGAAGTGGCTGAATAAAGTTCAGGGAGCCGGGACTCCTGGTCCTTCTGCCGGCCGGGCCCCGGCTCACCACACAGTGAAAGGAGAGCAGACTAGCCCCTCTGCCTCTGTTTTTCCCCATCAGACACCTACCTCACAGGGGCACTGGGAAAAGGAGTTTGGGGGAAGGCATGTTAATGTCTCTAAACATGTTTAAGTGCCATGAGTGATTTTTACTCTGTTTCATAGCATGGCAAAAGTGCTGTGTCTCATGAGCAAGGCAGGTGCTGTATGATATAAGAAAGTAACCTCTGTCGGGGTCATCAGAAGGCAGTGATGCTTCAGGAACTCTTTTCCGTACTCCCATCCTTTCCCCTGAGGAACAGTGGAAGTTCTCAGAAGAACATCTTCAGTAAAAGGAAAGTAACGTTTCTTTGCTGTTCCCGCATCCCAGGCCCCGCCCCTTTCTGGTCACTGTGAGAGGGAACCACCCTTGTCGCCCCCCCCCCCGCCCCGCACTCTGGGAGAGGTTCACGTGGCAGTGCCAAGGAAGGATGCGCATCTGAAGATGACACATCCCTAAAGGGGGCTCCGTGGGAGCTGTTTTTTTGTTTTTATTTCAGAATGCATTTAAGATACATTCTTCAGAACCAGATTAGAGGCACTGAACATTTAGAGAGGTTCTAGGTTACAGACGCAAGCAAACAGTTGCCTTTGGAATCTGCCAGTCTAGGTCTCTTCTGAATGGCGTATCTAGAACCTCAGTTTCCCAATTAGTAGCTGTTTGTTTAATCACCCTTGCCTCTACCTCTTTACCAGCCTTCCCTGTTTGGCTGTCCCAACTGTCTGCCCTCTTGTCCGTCAGCTAGAAGCTGTACTGGTTACTATATTTTTCCCAATAAAGTAGAAATTTGGATTCAAAAGGAATATAATCAATTTCCACTTATCCTAGTAGTGCCTGAGTAAATCTAATCTGATTTATTTTAAACACATGCTGGTTTTCTCGTTTGCATATAATTTTCACATATCTACGTAAGGATCGATTTACTGCTTTTCTGCCCAACTTAACAATTCCGGCTCTGAAAATTATTTTAAAAGTCTGTGTGATCTAGCATATGTGCCCATGTGCCCCTACTTATTTCTTTGGTTTGGACGGTGATTCTGGAATGAGTACTGTGTAGTAAATGTGCTGTTTTGTACGAAGCATGATGTTCAATTTTTTTTCCCCAGGGAAGTTTTTTTTTTTTAATTACTGCCTTTTCTTGATTATTGGAGAAATTTTCCAAAAGGAAAGAAAAGTAAGTCCTAGTAGTGTGTGTGCTGCTCAAAAATGTGATCATCTAGGACATGTTAATAAGTTGCTCTGGAAATAATGGAAGTCTTCCTCAGGAGAAGGCAGAAAAGAGGGAAGTAACAGCAGAACAGTAGGTCCCTGGAGGCCCGCCACCGACCCACCGAGGGGCCCCCACGCTGCCGAAATACAGCAAAACCGGAGCCTCGCACTCTCCAGGGATTTGGGTTTGGCACACTGAGTAGGTGTAGCACTTATTTGTGAACATTCACCCTCGGTCCTTCACAGCCACCTCTGGCGGTGGGAGCGTGTTGTCAGGGCAGTTCACAGGGCAGCCCTGTGCGCGTGTTGAGGTCTTCTCTGGGGTGTCTGGCTTTGTTAGGTGGCAATGTGGGATCGACAAAGGGAAGGTGTGGCCTCACTGCCAGCGCGATTTCCTGGGCCATTCTTTGTGCACAGCGATGGTTCTGCTGTTCTGCAGGAGAGCCTGCACTTGAGTTTACGCCAGTATTGAGAGGCATTGCTGCTTCCTTTCGGAGACCATTTATGACAGAGGTGGGCCACTTGTGAGATGGTTAGGCAGGGTAGCAGCGTCTAAGGCAGGTGGCCTTGGACCAGTTGGTTCCTTGCTCTCTGTGCATGGTGCGTGTCAAGTCAGCAAGCTCAGAAACCGTTAGCGTTAAAGTCTAGGTGCGTAGTAGTCCTCGCTCGAGGCCTTGGTGGATCAAATGGGGAAACAGCCCAGGAAAACCTTTAGAGATTGTCAGGCCGTGAGCTGAGCTGCCCTTAATCTCGGAAGCCTTACAGAAACCTAGGCGTACTGCTCCTGCCCCTGGAGAAAAAATAGAAACCTAGCTTGATGCAGAGTGGATTTTCGTATTTCTGTTTGTACTGCTGACATGGCAGCTGGCGTGGGCAAAATCATGAGATGGAATCTGTTCTGTAAGTTACTTCTTGAAATTTCCTCATAATTTTGCCTGTAGGAAAAAATTAAAATTATTCAAAGACAGCTTGCTGTCACTGGTGCTGCCCCAAAGCTTTCCAATCCTTTGTGTATTTTTTATGAATGAAATGGTTGCTGTGGGGAGATCAGGATTCATCTAAGAGTATCTTGGTATGAATATAATGGTTTTGCAACCGTTTGAATTTTTCTTTTCTTGTGCCAGATAAAGAATGCAGCTGTCCCCTTTTTCAGTAACTTCTGTTCATCAGCTTGTGTTTTCCTGGGCAGTTACTCCCAGAAGGCTTTTCTTAGTGATTGTAAAGCAAGAAAATCTTATCTGGGCCTGTGTTGCAAAGTTGGGCAATCTGTCATTACTTTCTGGCAAATTGAATTGATGGATTTTTAAGATAAGCCTTTGGGGTTCCTGTCACAGTTTCCGGGGCTCTGAGGAAGGGTTGGGCCTCCTCTGCTCTCAGTGTTTTGAGTGTTTTTCAGATGTTTGTAAGTTCTCTTGCACTCTTCTAATAAAAATGAAGGCTCTCTGTCAAGAAGTGGCTTTGGATGACTTGGAGAGCTAGGAGGGAAAATAAGTACACCTGAGACCTTCAGTTGGCCTTTTATTTATTTAGGATAAAAAGTAGTTTGATAAGCTACCAGAGTTAGTGCTTCTTTAAAGACATTCTCTGAAAAGATAGGAACCGTCCCTCAGGAAAGCTATAAAAGCTATTCCCAGTGCATTGCAATTGCTTTTGATGTTTAGTCCTTTGGAGCAAATGTCTTATGTTACGTCTCATGTTATGTTTTTAGAGCTGTGGGGGAAAATGTTTAAAAAAATCAAGGGGTATTATTAAACAACGAGTAGCTGGCTGACTTATGGGTGAGCTAAGTTGCAGGGCAGCTGTCCAGTTCTTTCTCTGTTGTCCTGACAGTAAAGCAGACAGTAAGTGATGTCTTAAAAAGTGATTTGCTTATTTCACACTGACATCTAAAGACATTAGCTTTGTGTTTGGCAACCCTGGGGACACACCTCTGTGCCGTGACTTATTAATGTTTTTTAGACAAGGCTAAACCTGAATGACTCTATGTATTTATAATTTCACTCTTCGTATACCAGCTGCTAAAAGAAAAAACATGACTTTTAATCTTGTCTTGAAATTACTCCTAATTGTTAAATTCACCTAAACCCTTCCTGTTTAGGGAGGGTTGCTACTAGTAACATCATTTTGCAGCGTTCTTCTTTAGGTATGTGTCTTATGGGAGTCTGGAAACTGTAATAAATGTGATTGTATTAATGTACTGACTGCTTTGTCTCTGCTGATTGGGGGTGGCATGTGGGGGTGGGGGGAGGAGGCAGGGGAGTCTGTTACCAAGTGAAGATGCTGACCTAGAGAGTTAAACTGTCTCAAGCTTCCTGCAGTCTCATCGTTGTAATCTCGAGTCTTTCCTTTACCAAAGCACACACATCTAGATCACTATCCTTGAGACTGCTTTGTTCTTCTAAGTTTATTTGAAGTTCACTCTTAGAAAAGGAATTCGGGCCACATTGTGAATTATCTCTTCTAAGCGCCCAGCAATGGTAACTGCCCTGTGGCTTTATTCTGCCTAATAGCTCACTGGCAGTGATCCACTCTGCTCACCGCTGAGACTGACTCTGCTCCCCTGGAGGATTTCGCCACAACTGACTAATTGATCCTCACATGCTTCCAGGAGTACCTGGATTTGCCACCAGCTTCCCTCTGTGCACGTAACAGGAAGTTGAACCGCCCAAAGATTTGCGACATTGATCACATAATTTCCTCTGTGTGCTTCCAGCACGGAGTCACCTGGGTAAGGTGGACAAGTAACAATGACATTGATCCTCAGAGAGGGAAACCTCGAGTTAACTGTCAAGACCCAATTCCCCACTTTCAAAGAATGCATTAAGTTGGGCTTAGCCAACACACAGGAAATTTCTAACCACCGCAGTGGAGGAAAGGGAGGCAAGACCCACGTGTTCCAGTTCTGGCCCTGGTTGTCCTGTATCACAAAGACTTGTGATTAAATGAAAAATCCTCATTAATCAAAAAAAGCAGAAGAGTCAGCTAGCTTGACATTTAAAATGTACAGTGATGTTTAAATATTGGCAGCGAGTGGAGGCCAGTGCAATGAGATGTATCTTCTGTCACTCTCCCTACACTTCCTGGGTAGGAGTGGCAAAGGAAAAAAAAATGTACTTTGCCCAACCCGGTTCTCTCCTTGGATGTGAATGAAGCGTACTTCAGTCTGCTCAGTGACCACTAGGTGGCAGTGTCTTAAAGAGAACTGCCTAACTGGAGTCCCGGAAGGACCCGAGTCTCCAGATCTCCAGTCGCTGCTGCAATTTATTATAAAATGCTCACCGGTCTGGACTGAGATAATCAAGGGAAAACAAACTATTATCTACTCAAGTGGCAATATAAACGTTTCTTACCAATATTGAATTTACCTAATGTGAAGCTTAGGAAGCCTGACTGAGGGCAATCAGCCGGTGACTGTGCTGGGGGAAGGGTGAGGAAGACAGACTGCCCCGTGTCCACCGTTTTAGGGAGCCGGCTTGCTGTTCTCATATGTGGGGTTCTTCATTTCTCCTCAGGACACTGCCAGTGCCCCTCGGCCTCTTCCCACCTGCTGGCAGGGGATTACTCCAGGAGAATTGTCTTGGTGCCCTTATTTCTCAGCCGCTGCCTCACTTTTGGAAACAATTCAATTTCCCCCAGTCTCGAGGGCGGAGAGCCCATCTGTGACAGGCTGCAGTTCTCTTACGATTCCACGATCAGAATTAAGCCTCCACTCCAAGACTGCAAGCAAATACGCTCTTGAATCTGAGGAAAATTTCTAATAGACACAGAAGACTGTGTTGTTTGAGGCTGGGCACCGGGGGTAGGAGTGGGTGGGCAGTGCTAGTAAGTCTCCTGGCGGCGCTTCAGGTCAAGCCCTTCCAGAGCCCTTCCCCTCTCTGTGTCAAGCAATGATTTCCCAGCCGCCTATGGTGAAGCGGGATACAGCATGTGAAATAATTAGGCGCTGGTCTTCAAGTGAGTAACTGAAAGTAAGATTATAATAAAGAGCTTTATTTCATGCCTTTTTGGACCATGACAGCTTGCACCACGTTTTGCTCAATTGCGCTGTGTGAAGCGGTAGAGGTCAGAGCATGCAGTAAGAAATCCTGTCGCTCTCAAGCATTACAGCCATGCCAAGTGTGTTACACACATTACTTTGTTCAGACACAGCCACGGTGAGGGGAAGATTTTATCCCCAGTGTGTACATGAGAGAACTGAAACAGAGGTTAAATAATGGGCCAACATCTCTGCTAATAAATGGCAAATTTGGGATTCTGTCTCTGACACGTACGTTGGTTAACCAAGTTGCACCTTAAAAATACTAAATTTCTCAGGCATTGAGAAGGAAGCTTTGAGGGCAAGCTGAGTCATCCCTTGACTAATCAGAAACCAGAGGGCTGAGTTAAATTCAGGCTTTTGGTTTGTGTCAAGTGTCTCTAGTCCCTTCTCATTTGACTGTTCTTTGGCTGGAAGTGAACACACACACGGGGCTTTCTGGCTTTCAGAAAGGACCAGGGTGGTGGGCACCCCCAGGGCGGTGGGCCAGCTGTGGCTCTGGGGAGGGTGGCTGCCAGGTGAGGCCCACTTGGTGTTTCACCCAGCGGTTAGTTTGGCCCTGGAAGGGGTATCAGTCCAATAGTCTTGCTAAAAAGCAGGTGGAGTGACTAGTGGTCTTTTCCAGGTCTTCAGAATGCATTTAGAACGTCTGCCATCCTTATCTTTGCAGTGTTCTCCAACACCTGAGAAGAATGCTTTCCCTAGGCCTTGACTGTAAATTCATCTTATTCAAGACAAAACAAAAAACCTCTTCTCAAGGCTTTAAACTATGGCTGTGCCAAAGCAGCAGGAAAATAAAGATTCCCTGAAGGCCTGCAGTCTTTCTCCTGAGATCTACAAGGGGGCCCAAGCGGGAAGGTTTGACGGGCTGTCTGTCTTGTAAAATTTCCTTTCAACATGGTGATGTATTAATTTCCAGAATCTGGCAATCCTAGGAGGGGCCCACTGTCTTAGATGCTTTTACTGGCTACTTCTGAACCTCAGTTTTCTGGTCTCTAAAATAGAATAATACCAACTACCTCATAGGGTTGGCGACAGAGAGCACCGGCCCAGACGGCAGGCACTTAATGTCATTTATGCTATGCCAACCTTGCTCTGTGATGCTCAGCATCTTTCCTCACTTCCCTGTGCTTGCATCTCACCTCCTGAGACCGGGGCTGGCAAACAGATGGACACAGCAGAACGTTGTCGCCATCCTTTTTTTCTTGCACACACACATTTGAAAGGTTGTTCCCAGGCTTCCTGAGTTCTCTGTGCCTCCTCCGTTGGTTCTCTCTGGGTTAAAACTTCAGCCTATTGTCAAGTTCTTTACTGCTGGGAGACCCGTGTGCTCCCCCAGGAATGACATTAGGCTCCGTGGGACATTCATTAGTTGGGGTTACAAGAGGACCACAGGGCACTGGAATGGTAATTTCCTACATGGGACCCCAGTGACCCAGAGCGAGCTAGCTCAGCTGGTCTGAGCATGTGGCTAATGAGGGGAGGGTCGTGGCTTCACTCCTGTGTGGGCCAATTAGTGTCACGTGCAAAAGCACGCTCCTGGGACATCAGGCCGCAGCCTTGCATGCGTGTGGCACTGGTCACCAGGATGGCTGTGCAGCCGTCCTCACTATCAGAAACCCAATGCAGAGTCGACATCTTCCTTACTATTACATGGCCCATTGTTCCCAAAACTTGGGTCACTGGTAGAGCATCTCCATGTTTTTTGCCTTAAACCAAGCCGACCACTGCATTTTTATTTATTTGATATTTTTCTGTACATTTACTCCCTTTTTAGCTAACACTTAAAAGGAAGCTGAACATCACTACCATCAATGCAAAACAGGGAAATTGGCCCTAAATTGAAAATACACATAAAAAGAAATATGCAACTATTGAAATTTCAGCGTTTATCTTCAGACTATATTCAGACACCTCCTGAGCCACAACTGATCATTACCCTTCTGTGTATTAATAAATATGTGGCTATAAGTTGTGTACATTACATAACACACATAGTTCTGTAATAAAATGGTCACATCAACAAAAACAATATTATAGAGCAATTGCTTCAGTGGGAAATGTTGGAATCAGTGACTAGGGAGTTTCACACTTGAAGTGATGAAATTATTCTTGCAGAAATTTCAACACCAAAGGTCTTTCTAATAGCCATAAATGCGTAGCTATAAAACCTAAAGTCTGAACAAATCTGGGGTTTAATTTATATCGAGCTCTTGCTCAGAAGTCGTGGCTTTTGTTCACACTCTCCACTGGCACTCTCATTAACACTGTGCTTCCCACACATCCTTATCATTATCGCCCATTTTATGATAAACAAAGTGCAAACACACAAAGCAGATGTGTTGAGTGCACAGCGTCTTCTGTTCCCCTCCAGTTATGAGCCAGTTCACGCTAATCTCCCCAGTTGGCCAGATCCTTATGGAGATCAAGATATAACCAGTAGTGTTGCTGGTAATAAAAATGTATTCCTTAATTAACTGAGCGTGTTACATCCAATCCAGTTATGAAAATGCACTGGGGGACAAACACAAAAAAACACACACACACAGACACACACACAGGCCTCTTCAAGGTTGAGAGAGAGCCTGGCCACTTCCATTATTGAAGGCTCCCAATACATTTTTTAAAAAAATGAAGAAATGTCAAAGCAAGGTTGTAAATGTGGTATGATTTTAAAATTCACATTGAATGATGGACGGCTTCCAATCCTCCCTGTGTACCTATGAGTGGGCGTGTAGCCTCATTTGGAGATAGAGCCACCGTCTGTATGTGACGTCTTTGTGAATGTGAAGTCCAAAGGGTCCTCTCTCCCTGCCCCTGGGTCCAGAGATGAGCCCTGCCAGGAAAATTGTCTTCTGTAGGAATCTGGGTTCAAATACACCGTAAGGCAGAGCATAACATGTTAGCGGTCTGGAAACACGAAGTGGTCAGGGATGCAGAAGGCTCGGAAGAATAGCTTTCACTTTCCTTCTCATGCCTCCTTTACCCTGTGGGTTCTTGCTGCGACGACTCCGTTATTTCAGTGCTGCTTGGGTTAGCCCGCTTTTGCAGCTTTCTCATTGTCCTTGCAAAGCCATTAACTGGTAGCAAAAGGGGCAGACCGTTTTATAAGTGCCAGAAGACTTACTTAGATCAGAAAATCAAAAAAATTAAGAAGTGGGGAATGCAGTTATGCAGCTTTCTTCCACTGCGTGGGGACCTAATGATGACTGTAGCCACAAGAACTACTTTGAATGACTGCTCACACACACCCACACACTCACACACACACACTCACACACACACACACCCGGGAAAGAGCAGGGAAACGACGCCACGCCGTCCACATCTAAAAAGTTTTCATTGCATGATTTTTGCTGGATCGTAAGATTGTGTAATGGGAGAGCATTACATGTTTATTTATATAAAATAGTGTAAAAATAGTTATTTACTGGAGAATGATCTCTTCGGATTCCGTTTGTGTGGCCTTGTTCTAAAACTGCTGCCTTCCCTGTGGTCCTTGCTTCTGAGGGCAGAAGGCGGTTAGTTCATTTGGTATTCTGTGTGAGGAACCTGCCGGCCCCGGGCGGCCTCTTCCCTGCCCTGCACCATCCAGTTGCGCCTTTGCGAGGCCCTTCACTCCGCCGCCTCGTTCCCAAGTTCGTCTGAGCACATCCGTTGCTCCGTGAAGAGTATTCTGGCCGAAGCTGCTCTCCCCTGGGCTCGGAGTCATCTCTCCTGACTGATTCGGAACGTTTAATTTATTTAAATACATATATACATAGAGAGAGAACTGTATGTACATACATAGTCACTTTTATATACCCTTATATATTAATAAGTATGCGTAATTTTAATAGATCAACATCATGGCATCAAACCAAGAGTCATATGGAGATTCCAACTCGAAAGTGATTGAGAGAAACTGTTTTAACCCCTCCCATGCCAGAGGAAGCTCCCAGAATGATTCTGAATATTTCCTTCCAGTTCTGTCTTTCATTTCAGTCCTTCCAGGATAGGACCCTCAGTGATTGTACTTCAAATCTAGACACTCTGGCACTGAGTGGGTGTTCAAAATTTAATACTCAGTCCTCACTTTGAAAAATACTAGCTAGGGCCTAGTAGATCTATCTCAGGTCACAGAGAACTCACCAAGAAGAACACACCCGGGGACACAGACTGCACAAGACTGCCCAAGTGGCGAGCCGCGGCGTCCTGAGTTGGCTGATGCCGCCTCAGTTTCAGGGGCAGCTGGAACCTCTGGGCCCGTCACTTCCAGCCACAGGCGCCGACGGCCTCCTCGGCTGAGTGGAACAGGGTGTAAAGGCGTGGCCCACGCTGATGTGAACACCAAACCTGACAAACCTGATGACCTCCTGATTGTTATGCCCCACGCCAAGGAGCCAAGTGCAGCCGCTGAGAAGTTGCTCCACAGCTCAAAAGCCAGCGGTCGCGTTTGCCGCTGCGCATCAAGGAGAAAGGCACGGGGCAGCTGCGGAAGGAGAGCGTGTTACCGGCACCCCAGGTGCCAGCGCCGCTACCTCTTTGCAGAGCCCCGTGGAAAACGAGCATGTGGCGCCACTTACTCGAAATTCATTTCAAGGTGGTGACAACGGAGCATTCAGCCAAGCGCGGGGTCCTGCTGAGCGTGAGGCCCTGTGCGACTGCAGAGGTCGCTGGTGGAGCCGGCCCTGGAGGGAGCGCAGCACGAGGCCAAGTGGAGCCCGTGGGAAGTTCAGTGGGAGCACCGGGAGGGGTGGGGGGTGCGGGGTGCTTGGCAGGCGCGGCGCTGAATCTGTCTTCACACATGTTGGATTCTTTCTTCTGTTGGTGAGTGACTTCTGTTCAGTGGTGTCCCAGCTAGCTGTGCTTAGTAACTGTTCTAACTATGCATAACTGGTCTACCAGTGGAAGCATTATCATTATTTTGAAATGCTTTGAGAACTTTCCTAAAGATTTTAAATCCATTCACACAATCTCAA